TCTCACCATGTCAAATAATATTCTATTTTATCTCTTGCTAACTCAATTCTGTTGAAGAGTGTGAATAACAATTTTTTTTCCCTTCCCCTAACATAGAATTTGTATTTTCTGATTCCATTTTACCAAAAATGAAAACAAAACAATTTCACTTAAAAAAAAATAAAAACCAATCTAAACAAACAAGAAAAACTCATATCTAAACTCAAAAATGGAAAATAAAGCTTGACAGAAAATGAAACTCATAAATCAATGTTTGTTTCATACATGAGACAAGAAAAATTAAAAAATTTGGCCTTTTGCAAAATCCTAAAATGAGACCAATAAAAGGCAAAAATAAGGAATCCAAAGAGGGTGTTTTTTTTTCTTTAAAAGAGAGTAAAAAAAAGTTTTGGAGAGAACAAGTTTTCAGGGAGGGAAGGAAAGCAAAAATTCTAGGAGGTAAGAAAAATTATTTTAGAGAGAAAGATCTAGGAAGAAGATATATGAAATAAAGAACAAGTGTTTCGGAAGAGGAGACTACTAAAAAAGAAGAACACAAAACGGAAGTGAGCACAACTAGAAGAAAAAGAAAGCAAAAAATAGAGTAGAGAAAGAAATCAAAAGCCAAAAGAAAAAAAGAAAGCACACAATTTAGTCTCCATCATCTTCATTTTTAGTTTAAATTTGAAATATTTACTAATTGTATTCAAGATATTTTTTTTTTACATATAAAACATATTTTGCTCTAAATATGTTCTTAACTCTTAAAAAATGATCGGTAACAGAGGTTAAGTGATATAAGTATAGAGCTACTAATTGAACTATTTGTAAAGTTTCGTATCTTTTTAGCCTTTTTAGTAATATATTATTATTATTATATTATTATTATTAAAATAAAAAAGGAATTGGAAGTGACTACTCGACAATTAATATGCCGAAAGTCATAAGCACTCAGCACATTAAGCTTCTGACCATTCAATTATGTCAAATTTTACTTTCAGCTCCTTTTTCTTTTTTCTTTTTTTATTTATTATTATGATTATTTTATATTTATTTTTTTATTTTTAAATCTTGGGCTTAGAGAGCCCATTTTTAAACTTAAAAACGTTTGGGGTAAAAAAAATATTTTTTCTTTTTCTTTAAGTCAAGAAAATAATAAACAAATTTAAACTTATTTTATTTTATTTACTTTTGTTTCTCTTTCTAATTTTATCTATTATTTTATTTATCTATATTTAATTTATTTTAATGAAATATTCTCTTTTTTTATTATTACTAATCTTGTTTATATCTTTTTTTATTTTATTTATTTATTTATTTTTATATAATATTCATATTTACTTTTATATTATATTTGACTTCTAATTTCACTTGTAAAATATATCTCTTTTCATCATCAATAGAAAATTAGCAGAATAATATAAGTAGTCTCTTTTTTTCCTAGTAATTTTTTAATTTTTGCTTATATTTATTTTATTATTTATTTTTAGATGTTCTATAGATTTAGAATGTAATTTGATTTTATATTCATATTTTGTTCCTTTTTGTTTTGTGGATAAATTATATTTTTAATTTATTTTATGATAAATAAATAAACAATACATGTTTAGATTAATTTATAACATCAACATGTAACTTCTCTACTATCTGTGTTATAAATTAATAAAGTTTAAGTATACCTATGTTATATAAACTTTATGTAATATTAATTTATCATGTGTAGTCTCTAATTAATGAAAAATTTATCTTAATAATTAATCAAAATATACTCTTCCTATAATTACTGATTTACTAATAACTCTTAAATCAAATTTATTTTATAATGCAACAATTTATGATGCTAATATATAACGATTCTACCTTTATGCATAATAAATTGTTAAAAACCTGTGCGTACCAATGTTACCTAGGTTTTATACAATATAAATTTATTAAATAAATTTTTAATCTTTTTATTAAATAAGTATCTTCTTTAATCAATTCAAATAGATTCATTTTTTTTTATTAAAATGGAATTAATTTCTTATTTAAAAATTTCTTAAGTCATATTTTTAATTTTGATAAATTAAATAACTAAAACATTTCTTTACTTATTTATACAAATTTATGCAATATGATGTGTAATTTATATTACTTTTGACTATTCAATAAATTATAAGAGATTTATGTATAGTTTACGCTATCTTAAATTATTTTTCAATATAAATCTTCAAATTTAAATTTTTTTATTTACAAACTATAATATTTTTTAATTATTAAATTATTTTTTTAACTATTTACAATATGGTTGTGTGATCTTTCTTCATCTTTTGTATTGTTTCTCGTATGATACGTATATAACTACGTTCTCTTGTATCCTAAACATTATAATCTTAGGAAAATAATTTTAATTTCAAAATAACTTTCTTTTACTAAACTTAATTTTAATCCACCAACTTCGTGATTTTTATGATAAAACAACATGACTTTTAGTCCCCATTACACCTAGAGATAGTATGAGTAGGAACCAAACCCGTCATATTAAAACAATTTTTAAAATAATTTTTCTCTTTCTTAAGATACTAATTAATATTTTAATAAATAATTTTTTTCCTTTAAAAAATAAAAATAGTAATACTTTTTGTTGAGGGGTTAAATAACTTTTTCAAAATAAAAATAAATTTGCATGACTAATTTAAGGCAATCGTTAAACAAACTTTATAAGTTATAAGGTGCTGGTACCTTCTCTACATATAAACGACTCATAAACTCTTTTTTGGATTTCAAAGATCATATTATTTTAAAAATTTTTCCAAAATTTTTTTAAATGAATTTTGGTGGTGAATCTTCTAATTTTAAAAAATATTTTTTATTAGAAGATATTTTTTAAAAAACTTTTTTGCTGTACTATTGTGACGTTCAGTTGCAATAAGAAGTATAAATGACTGTAAGCTAACTTTTGATTCCGTTTTTTTGATAAAATTTTACAAATTTATAGGAGTTAAACTATTTTCCTCTATTTGGTCACATCATCTCAATAGAGTTGTCTACTCCCTTTTCAACTAATATCTTTAATTATTTGAATGCCTTAAATGTTTTTGATTTATTCGGCAAAGAATAGTAGCAATTTTTTTTTGCTAAAATTGTCAATAAATGTTATGAGGTATTGTTTACCTCCATTTGATGCAAGACTAATTGGTCCATAGATATCTATGTGAACCAATTCTAGTACACGTTGAGTCATCCAACCTCTCATTTTAAGAAATGCATCTCTATTTTGTCTACTAATAATGCATTCTTCATAAACTCATGAAGGCAACTCAAATTTAAGGAGCCTTCTTACCATCTTCTTTTGCTGTAGTTGCTGCAAACCTACAAAAGTATAAGCAGTCATGTTGATTATGTCAAAGCCAAGCCATGTTGTTCTATTCTATTGCTAAGCAATTAAGCTTTAAAATTTGCATGTAAATAGGAAACATCTTATTGTTGGTCATTTTTGTTTGTATAATGAGTCTCAGCTCATCATTTTTCACCAAACATATTTCATTTCTTATTAAAATTTCATATCCTGTTTTTTTTTGTTGTAATTGTCCGATGCTTAACAAGTTACTTTTCAAAACAAGCACATACAAGACATTCAAGATAGATTGTACCTACCTAATTTTTTGTAATGCTAACTTTACCTCTTCCTTGAACTTTAATAGTTGAATGATCGTCAAACTTTACAATGTTACTAAAAGATTCATCAAGCTTAGTGAAAGCCTTCTTGTCCCCTAACATGTGATTACTGCAACTAGTGTCTTACTACCACAAGTTCTTGGAATTTTTTGTCTCAAGCTTACACATCATCAACAAAGAGATCTCACCTTCCTTTTATTCTTGCTTGACAAATTAGATTACTCTGGCTTGCTTAAATTAGTCATACATTGTGACTTGTAGTGGCCAAATCAATGACATCCAAAGCACTCAATATGTGCTTTATTTTTTTTATTTGCTAAATGCTCCTTTTTTCTTTTCCTATATTATCTTTCCCTTTCCATGCACCTTTACTCTTATCTGAACCACTTGGCTTTGATGAAACTTGCAAAGTCTATGTTTGAGCCTATAGTAGTTGCTCCTCCTTTTCTTGCCTTCTAATCTTGTGCTCATGAATTTGTAATGAATTTTGCAACTCATCAATCGTTATCTCATCCAAATCATGAGACTCTTGTATGGCTGCAAAAATAAAATAAAATTTTATTGTCAACAATCTCAAAACTTTCTCAACGGTGGTGACATCTTCTATTTTATCACCATGAATTTTGAGCTTGATTGCAATCGTCATTGTCTTGGAGAAGTATTTTGAAACTGCTTCTGCTGGTTTTACCTGCAATGTCTCAAATTTAGCCCTGAGACTTTTTAATTGCTGCCTCTTGGCTATAGCATTTGCTTGGTACTTCTTCACTGAATCCTAAATTTGCTTTGAAGTCTCCTTGTGCAAGATAGTATCAAGCACCATTATGTCAATTGCTTAGAAGAGATAATTTTTAGCTTTTAAATCCTTCAACTTCAAGTTGTCTGCTTCAATCTTCTATGCATCACTTGCACCTGCAGCTAGCTCTGGAACTTCAACAATGATCCAATACTCATTGGACCTAAGGAAGTTCTCATCAACATGTTCCATTGATAAAAATGATGTTTGTCAAAGCGTGGAATTGAGGGTAGAAAAAGTTGTCATTTATGGCCATTTGTGTGTGTTCTAGAGGGTTTTCAAACCAGACGCTTGATATCACTTGTAAACTAAAACACATAAAGAGAACGGAAGGAAACAAACTTTTATTGAATCCAAATAAAAAACTAATACAAAACTTCAGCAGAATTACAATTTAAATAGAACTCAAATTAAGCTAAGAGCTCCTAGACATAGGAGCACTATCACATTTTAAGAAACCAATATCTCTTAGCTTTCCTAAAAACAAAGTAGACTAATAACAAGAAGATAACTGATAAAACAAACTCCTCAAAATGTAGCAACTACTCTTTCAGCTAACAATATATAGCATCTAAACATGAACACAAGGATGGTTAGATTCATTTGTGACTAGATTGGGTACCCAAGCAATAGCCTTATTGCCAACAAAATGGCAAACAGGAACAGTTCCAGGCTTGACTTTGAGAACTTCATGAAGCACTTCAGGATCCATACCACTTGTATCATGGTGGCAAATGGTTAGTGCCTTAACTTTAGTCCCATCAGAGGCCACCAATGGAACCATATAAGTCGTTGTTGCATTGACTTGGTGACAATAATATACAACCTTTTCAAAATTCAATCTATGACACATGACAGCCTTTTCTCCGATTTTGTTCACTTCCTCAACAATGTATTGATCCTGATTTTGGGCAAAGGAACTTGAAATCACCTTAATATTCTTCCCAAGCTTTGAAATGGCAAAATCCACCATTGATTCCAAGGATGATGCACAATGCTTGTCTTCTCCTTTAGCAGCATGTTTCCCACAAACCTCATGAAGATTGTATCTCTCTGTTGCTCTTGCACGCAACCATGCTCCAAAAGGTTGACTTGTTTTAAGCCTCCCCCTTAGTTCTAAAGGTTGACTATTATCAAAATGCTTGGGGAGCCCCAATTTCATTATCTTTTGAGGATGAAGATCATGTTCGAAAAATATAGTCCAATACTGTTTTTCTTCTTCGACTTCAATAGGCAAATGGGTTTTGATATCTACATCATTATAGAAATATTTTCATCATATAAATAAGAACGCAGTGCTTTGTTTTCCAAATATGTTTATTTGTTCTTTCAATAAATTATATTTAACTAAATTATATAAGTTAATAAAAAATAGTTAAAGTTATTTGGCTTTTAAAAAAAAAATATTACCGCATTACAATTTTATTCTTATTTAATATTATTCAACATAATCCCACTATTAACATTTACTTTTATTAGTTTTAATTTAAATTTTTACTAATTTCATTTATTAAGAATAAATAAAAAATAATCAATATGGCAGAAAATATAAAATATCTTGTAATAAATTTCGCTAATCTTTTTTAAAAAATATCTTCAAAACAATTAGAAAGAATAACTAATAAAAAAACACATAATCTCTTGACTATTTATTTTCTATATAATAAAAATGAAGTCTCACTTTTAAAGAGTGAGATAATGTCTAAAGATAGATTTGTGAGTAAAATTTTAGATAAATAAAAAAAGAAAGTATTTTTTTCCCAAAAATATTAGGTAAAATCATTACTTTTGCATTCTGAGTTTTACTTTTTATTTTGCTTTCACCTTTTCTTAATTTTTATTTTATTTTAGTTCTTTAATTTTATTTATTGCTTTCATTAATTCCTTAAATTGTTTCTGTTTTTGAGTCATGTTTTTACTATTTAACTACATCAATTAAATAGGAGAAGAAAAATGAAAAAAATAATAATAATGATGATCTTGAATTTAATACAATTAATAAAAAAGAAAGACTTATTTGATTGGCATTTAAAATTTAAAGGATTAAAACATAACTAAACAAAAAAATAAAAATATCAAAATAAAATAAAATAAGTTAGATAATTAAACCCAAATTAAAAGTAAAATTAGAGGACTAAAGCATTTATTTGGATAAAATGTTAATGTTAGTCTTTAGGACTAATTTAAAATATTTAAAAATATTAAATTTTATTAATACAAAATATTTATTAACTTATACTCTTTTAAAATAATAAATACTTTGTTCTAATAAAAACTTATTAATTATAAGAACTAATATTAAGAAACTTAGTTTTTTATTTTAAATTAAAAATTTCAATATAATAGTTACAAAAATAAACAAACTGTTAAAATAAAAATTTTATTCTAATATATTAATTAATTTATTTTATTTTAAAATAATATCAAAATTAAATAATTTATTAAAAATAAAAATATTATAGTTTCTTCCATTTTCTTCTGATATTTATTGGACGGAATATTGTGTACTCTTCCATAAAACATGTAACTTTACAATTGAAGATATTTCTCTTTGTTTTTTTTTCCTTTTACTCTATATATCATTTCCTTATTTATTGCTTATACACTCCTAACAATTCTCTTTTGATATTAAAAAATTGGTAATTATAATTTATTTGGACAAAAAATTATAGGAAATATAAAGTCTAGTTTGTTTAAAATAAAAATAAATTTTAATTATATAAAATATTTGACATAAATACTCACGCGTACAGCGAATTATAGTATGCTCCTATCAAAAAGTTAATCTTAGTCGTATATTAATAAAAATAATAAATATGATAAAGATGAAAAAATAAATTATACAAAACATGAATTTGTGTAATTTTTTTATTAAATTTGACATCTTTAAAGTGAGAAGAGTATATTTTACACACTGTTTGATTCAAAAAGAAAATAATAATAATAATGATAAAAAAATAAAATAAAATAAAAGAGAGTGCCTTATTTAATTTACAAAAGGAAAAAAGAGAGTAAAGGTATTATTTTATAATTAAAATAATTATAAAAATATAAAATAAGAATAATTTTATCTTTGTGAGAGACTAGCCCTACTAAAGGAATTCAAAGCTTTGCATACTAAAAAAGTCATATGAAATTATAGAAGTTATGTTAATGATAACAGGTGTCAGATTAGATTTAAGAAAAAGAACTTTTTATCATTTATATATATTTATGGTTAAGATTAACTTTTTTCATTTTTACTGAGCATGCTAGCACGAGTGTAATATATTTTTATATCTTACCTAATTGTATTTGAATAATTAGGGAATTAAAATTCATATAAATTTTTATAAATACGGTTAAACAAATTTTTTTTTATTAATTTTAGGTTTTCTAAATTTATTTTTTCATAATAGTTTTCTCATTAATTACAGTATATATTTAGACATATCATATTATATATATACCATCTTAGAATTGATCAATGGTGTAGTATGATTAGATACATTTTTCATTACTGCTGTGTAGCTATAAAAAAATATATAAAACTTCTAAGATTTGTGAAATTAAATTAATTAAAAATTTAAAAAACAAAAAATAATAATTATATTTATAAGAATTTAAAAAAATATGTAAACCTAAAATCCACTGCCTGAAATAACCAAATAGCCTAAACTATAATACTTCTAAAAGGTTGAAATTACTGTAATACTCACAAGGCAGCACAAGATCCCAGAGAGGCTTGGGCACAGGAGTGTTTGGCCAAAGGGATTGCCAATACTCTTCTGCGGATTGCGATGCATCACTTCGCATCAGAGAGAACTGAAAAGAAATTTTCAAGTTGTATAATGAGTTGATTTTTGGTGGATTATCAATGTAAAATTTGTTAATTAATTAAAATACTTTATAAATATATATTTTATATTAATTATTACAAAATTAAAGTATACTTATTAATATAATAATATATAATTAAATAATACTATAAAAATAATGTATATCAATGATATATTTAATTAAATTCTTACATAATAATTGTTAAGACATAATAGAGTTATAATGATGGGAAATGATGTTGAAAGCACGTAAAATAAATACGAAGCTAAGAAGAAAATAGCTTACACATAACAGAGCTAAAACGGTTAATAATCTGAACTCCATTTATGCTATAAGTGGAGAACGAAGAAGCCAATTGTGTGTAGATTGTTGTGACAAGCTTCCTAATATATAATGCATTCATTACCCTTCCTCCCAATACATGCATTTTGTCGCTTCCAACCCATAAACTAATATACAACCATCAAAATATTTATAAATTCTATTAAAAATATAAATAAATATTAATATGCAGCCGATTAAAAAAATAACTCAATCATGAAAAGAAATCAATATAAAATATAAAGCATCATTCTAAAATGAAAAACAAGTATGCTGTATCAATATTATCTTTATTAACGTGATCTTAACGAAAGAGAAGACAAATAACATTAATAGTTTATTAATTGGACTGTAACATGACACATGTACAGAGTGTTTGTTTATATTTTTCTAGTATTATCTTTTCGGTGAGATATTAATTTTTAATATGTTTGCAATTTTTTTTTCAAGATACATTTGTAAAACACCTTTAATTAAGTAATAGTAATTTTTTTAATATAATTTTTTAAAATAAATTTGTTCGAAATGTATAAACTTACATTCGCCCTAACATTTTGTTTTTTTCTTTTAAATATTAATAGATAATGGGTTGCCGTAGGAGTATTTAAGTAAGATTATACATTAATTTAACATATTTTTTTATTTTAATATAGTAAACAAGAAAATAAATTGAATAACTAATTAAATTTATTTTATTGTATGTCATTATACTTAATATTAAATTTTACTTTATTATGTGCCAATTAATTTAATACTTTTTTTGAAAAATAAAATTGAATATAATATTTTAAGTATTATCATTGTATATAAAGTAAAATATTCTAAAGCTATTTTAAAGATAATCTTTTTTTAAAATAATTTTTTTAGTAGCATTTATTTCTTATCAATAATAATAATAATTAACAAATAAAGTTTATAAATTATAAAATTCATAAGAAAGGCAGCACTAGCAATTATAATATAGTGTAGCAAGCGGTGGGTTACAATTATTTCAAGGAAAAGATGAAAGTCTTTAATTTAATTGTCTTCATTTTTCAAAAAATTTATTTGAAACATTATATATCTTTTTATTTGTACAAATTGTTCCTTTTTATTATTACTATACTTCATTTTCCTCTTTCTTCTCGAAATATTTTTTATTTTAGTCAATAATTTTGGAATTAATATATACCAAAAAAAAAAAAAAGGCTAACGATATTTAATTTATCATTTTTATAACTTATAGTTTAATTTCAAAATTTTGGTTTAATTTTAAATTTTCACGTTTTGGTGTTGAAATTATTGATCATTCGTATGTTTATATTTTTTGCAATTTGAAGTACTGATAATTGATATGTCCGTTTTAATTTTTCATTGCATATATAGTAAAACTTGATATTGTTAGTAGAACTTGGCCAAATCAATCGATGAGAGAGTGAAGAATATATTTGTAGGTATGTTGATATGGTTGACAAAGAACAGCTCTTGAGATTCTTAAATGTGTTTCGAAATTGACATCTTTAACTTCCTATATTAGTTTTATAACTTTTACTTTCTAATTTTAACTGATCTCAGAAATTTTGAAATGCTTTTAAATTATTTTTTTTATGTATTTTATTTTATTTGGATGTATAACCTTAAAATATTAATTAGCCTAAGCAAGTTTTTTGATCTCCATGTCTTCGAAACAATGTTAGTATCATGTTTCAGCTTATTGGAAAGCTTTTTTTTTATTATTATTATTGGGGGTATTTCTCAAGCCTTTTGTTATTAGAATTTAGAGTTCAAGATTTAGTGTTTTAGGTTTGATTAAGTTATATAATTTACTTTCTTTAGTAATTTATTTCGCCAAATTCTAATTGAATAAAAGGATAGTACAAATTTTGAAATTCGTTATTTCAATAATTATGCATTTAATTTTAAGGATAAATAGGATTGTTTTCAGTCCTTTTTGTATCTGTAATTGATGAATCTAGTGTTTCTTTAATCTTATGGTTGTACAAGTTAACATGTATTAAAACGATGTGCTCTATTGGTCATGTTTATTTATTGTGTTTAATTTCTTCAATTTGGTGTTATTAATTAGGTTCTTAATAAGGTTCATTTGTCATTTAATGGTAGGTCAAATAAATATAATTTACTTTTTAGGTTTACTAGAATACGTTATTTTCATTGATTCAATATATATTTTATCTGTTCACTTTATAAGAATTGATTTTAATTTATTTTAGATCCTATATTTTTAAGAATTTTGTTAACCTTCACCCTAAGAGCTAAAGATAAGTGATTAATAATAATAAAATTTTAAAAAAATTATTATATTTTTATAATTTCAATACAATAATTATGTATTTTTTTTATAAATTTTTTTTTATTTGTGACTGTTTATTAACAAAACCATATTTTTAAAACTAATTATTAAATACTTAACTACATACTGATAAAAAAATAAATTATTCTCATATATAATTGATTAATTTTGTACTTAATAATTAAAGTTATGCCATACTTTATTTTAATCCACAAATATATTCACATTATACTTATTTCTTTTCTTTTTTATTTGTACACTTTGTATTATGAATAGGGATGACAATGGATAGGGTACTATAGTACCCATCCCTATACCCGTGTTTTAAAAAAAATATCCGTACCCGACCCCATACCTGCATGGGTATGAATATTAATCCCCGTATCTGTACCCGTACCTTCTGGGTACCCGCATACCCATCTTGTACCCACTATCTACACATGTTTGAAAAAAAAATATTTATAAAGAAAAATATGTTTATATAACTTCACATAAATAGCATAATAATATAAAAATTCAATATGTAGTTGTCGAACAAGGTACAAACATAAATAAAAAACAAATATTCAAGGATCATAAATGTTAAATGTATCTTAATATAATAATTTTCTAAACTAAAATTCTTAGAAACAATAAGCCAAACTAAACGCACAAGTTATTTGTCAGTGATAACCCTATTTTGTGTGAGATTTGATCGATTGGTAATGTTAGAGCGACAACGAAATAAATTTGTACAATGATTGTCCCTTCGTGTAGGATCACTTGGTGACCTCTTGTGACGACATTGACATTGACAACTAACTCTAATAAATAATGTTTCATAGTTGTTAGGTTTTAATGAGACAGACATTGAGAATGAGAATAGAGTTAGAGTAGAGAAGTTCAATACTAACAACATAAAGTGGATATATAAAATAATTTTTTTTAACTTTTGAATTTAAAATTGTAAGAAAAATAATAGATTTAATTAAAATAATATAATATATATATATATATATATATATATATTAATACTAGTATTTTTAACTCATATACTATACGAAAGTATTTTATCAAAAATACAAATTTTTGAAAAATTATTTTAATGAATTAAATATTTATAATGTATATAAATTTTAAAAGAAAGAATTTGAATAAAAGATAAATAGTTACAATAAAATTTTATAATAAAGAAATATAAGTGTATATTAAAAAATTATACTTTTTTATCTGAAAAAAATAACAAATAAAAATTAAAAATAATTTTTTATATTTATATCTCTCCAAAAACTTCTTTGAACGTAAATAAATAGTAAGAATAATATTATTTAGATTCAATAGATTATAGTTGTGTTTGTAATACATATGTTACATAGAAAAATATTATTTTAAATTAAAATATAAAAATAAAATTTAAATATTATTAATAAATAATAAGTTTACGGTAATAGTAGGTGATTGTAAAATTTATAAAAGATTTACAGTATATTTATTATTTATCATTCACTTTATGATTTAAACATCAATATAATTTTATTAACAAAAATATTTGTGTAAAAAATATTTTATATGTGTCATATATAAATAATATTTTAAAAAATGTCAATCTCATATTAACTATGTAATAATTAAATTGTATTAGCCTAATTAAATGATATAAAATAGTAAATAAATTTTTCTATTAAAAATATAAACCAAAATAAATTTTTTGGTTTACTTTATTATTAAATATATTTTAATATTAATCTTATATAACTTCACATAAGTAATATAATAATACAAAAATTCAATGCATAATTATAGAATAAAGTTCAAGTTATATATATATATATGCGGGTATGGAGCGGGATGAGTACTTAGATACCTATACCCGCACCTATCCCCATTAAAATTTGTGGGTTTTTACCCACACCCATACCTGTACCCATATAGCGGGTAAATATTCTACCCATTATGGGTAAATTTTGCGGGTATCTATCGGGTACTTTAACCATTGCCATCCCTAATTATGAAAGTCTTGTATATGTTGACTTTATAAAATTATTACTTTCACGCTTTATTTTACAAAAATTATTTATTATAATTCTTTTATGCTTTATTTTTATTATCATTTTATGTTCAAACTTATTAAAAAAATTATTGTTTCACAAAATTAATGACAAAAGTTTTTAACGCTTAAAATTAAGAGATTAAAATAAAAGTCACGCATGTAAAAAATATTTATTTTTAAATATTTACATATCAATTATTTCTTATAATTTAGTCGTTTGAATAATGCAAATACTGATAAAATTTATTATAAATAAAATCAAATTATACACACAAATATCTTATAATATAAAATAAAATAAGTATGCATCGCATAATTAATATTATCTTAATTGTTATTATTATAACAAGTAACATTTCACGTGCTCCGTAGAAAAAAAAAAGACAAATAACATTAATGAGCGACGTTAATAATAGAATTGGAAGGCATGTATTTGTTTATATTCTAAGCATTATCTTTTGGGTGATTAACGTTAGGTAGGATTACAATGTTTGAGATATAATTTAATATTTTTGTAATTTTTTCTCTTTAAAAGACATTTGTAAAACACATCTAATAGAATAATTTTAATGTTTTAATTTAAATATTTTAATTTTTTGGTAAAAAAAAAAATAAAAAATAGAAAGACAAATTAACTGATAAGTAATTAATTGTTTAAATTTAAAAATAAGTTCATCTTAATAA